CCTCAAAAAAGAGTGGTTATCCTTACCTTCCAAAAGAGACAAAATATGTGCAAACAGTAACAATAACTAACACTGGAAGTTTGTCATGAAACGGTATTAATTGAAATCCTTAAAAATAAGCTATGAAATTCATGCACATTTGATGCACAAGAAGAAGAAGAGGAAGAAGAAGAATGTATTTTTACTTCCAACAAAAAAGTTTTTTCTAAGAAACTGAAATCTAGTGTTTTGTCTTCTGTAAAACAATCATAATTTTAGATATTTAACTGTAGAGTATGGTGGGAACGTTATCGAAAACAGTTGTTCTCTCTCTGATATTCTTTGTTCTTGAAAGAACTGAGCACTGAAGTAACTATCAATATAGATAATAGCTCAATCTATCCTAAACCATCAAATTCTTGATTGATATTTTATCAAATAAAGAAGATCAAAATACCGAAATCAGTAAGACGAATCTATTGGAACAGTGAATGTCTAAAAAACTCGGAATATAAAACAAAGTAGAATCAATAACTCGAAATCAAAACAACTTATCATATAGTGATCTTAATATTTTGATGTGGCTGGGTGTTTTCAAACATGTCGAGAGTGAGACAGTCGTTATTAGTGTGATATTGAATAATAGGCTGGAGTAAAACTCATGTACCATTGATTATGAATCCAGTGTATTAATCGTTAAGGACAATTCCGGTAGGCTTTGAATTCGATACTTCGTGGGTTCATACATGCACAATACTGAGGAGCTTCATAACAGGGTAAACAGCTAGCTTTCTACATTTCAATTTTAATCCTTCTCTAGTGTATTTCATGCTATATCTTGTCTGTTCAATGAAACAATTTAACTATTAACGAGAAAGGAATGAGTTCACATGTGACACACCATTTAACATTTATATTAAAATAAATTTGATCATTTCTTTTGATTTTTGTCATTTAATATTGATAAGTAGATGAGTAGGTAAATAAGATCGCGTTATATATTTGTAAACAAAGTAAAGTCTAACGACTTTATATGTAATAACAGCTGTTGATAATTAGAATTTTATTCATTATTATTATTATTATTATTATTATTATTATTATTATTATTATTATTCGTACTTCATTTTACATTCATTTTATAAATAAGTCCAAATAAGAAATTATCCAAACGTGTACAATAATCATTGAAGCTGTAAAGGTTTGTAATTTTCTGTTGTTGATATTCAGGACTGCAAACGATTAACTAATGTTGCTGCATATGTACAATGAAGTGATTGCTTTGATACAACCTGCAGTTACAATGGAATTCAAGAAGCGCATCTCATTTCGTCTTAAAACTTCGTTAGCCGAATGTACATGCGTTTCAGTGTTGATGTTCACACTTAAGACCCGAACCCGGTACATTTTTCTTCAAACGCCGTTTTATCCACCAAGCTACCAAGTCCGAATACTAAATAACAACAGAAACTGATCAATTGCAGTCCTAAATATCGACAACAGGAAATTACAAACCAATAATAATCGATGAGGGTAGTTTCTACATTGCAAATCAGTTGCTAATTGACTCAAAGTTTAATGTGTTACTAAAAAGCTGGATGTTCAAACCATATCATTCTGCCTTCTAATTTGGATAGCGCACAAACTGACAGTATAAGTGTATAAATTGAGACTGAGTACATAATCTTATACTTGGATAAATGATTTCTACATTGGATTAAACTAAAAATCAGTTAAGGGATAACATGTTAAAAGTAACCTATAGTAAAGACCTGTGTATGACAGCGACTAGATTTCTCGTAATATAATGCTGGTGATTTTTTAATCCAGCCATATTTAAATAAACAGTTGTATGATCTAGTCCAAGTGTCGGTTATTTCGCCTAGATTACGTACATAGGTACAATGACACATCGATGGTGAAACAACAGCCGAGAGTAACACTTAACAGCCATTGATTCATAATGCAGTTTTCCCGTGTTCGCTCACTCGGTAAGCAGTCTAAAACAATAATAGATAGTCGAACAATGAAGCGCGTATTTGAGAAAAAGGGAGTGAAGAAAAATAAAAGAACAAGGAGCAAGTAGAATAATAATGAATAAAACCGTGTATTAATGTTAATTCGGCCAGGGAAGAGACAAGAATGTTACGAATTTCTTATAAACACAAAGACTTGGATTGTTAGCTCAAATCCCTATAGCTTCTGCTATGTGTAAGAGAGGAAATCAAACCCCATAAAATCAGCTAGTATGTATACGATAAATTGCTATTTATAAACTATTTCTATGACCACCATTGATCAAGTGTGATAAAACAGCTGTTTGTTGTTTTTATTATACCCATTCCTAACCGCGAAGGGATCTTGTCGTATTATTAAATAAGAGAGTAAAGCCTGATGATGATCTGATTGAAAAAAATATTGGCCGCCTATACATGATATTTTAATCCGCCACATGGGAATTTTTAATATCTTAAAATCACATGAAGATTGTAAGCTATGCAAGCAGACTATAACGAGTAGTTGAATTTTCCACCTACTCATGATCACCGTCTATTTATCTTTGTCTGAATCAATCCAGTTACATAATTATTGCAGATTATAATTTAGCCTTTTGTATTAAAACTTCCTAAGGAGCCTTCTGAAGGGACTATAATCTATGGATGAACTAATGAGATTTAAGATAGCAGGTCTTGAATTTCATAGCTAAATTCTTTCATCCATAAGACTACTTAGCATTTCAACTTTATGGCTGATGTCATTTCGTGATGACAACCCTAATTCTAAATCCTAACCCTAACTCAAAACCTTAATCCTGATTCCTTAGACTCACTTCTAAGTCTCTTATGACCCAAGTAGGTAGGTAAATATTCTAATGATCAATTTAGCATCGCTCGACGGTTGTCCAACAATTATACTCTCACCGAATTATATATTCGGATTTGAACTATATTTTTGCATGTGTGAGCTAATGAGAGTAGTCAACTGTTTAAGAGTGACTATAAAACAAAACGATGATTGAGGCTTGTCGCTAGTACTCGCCAATGATTCCACATAACATCGAACTCATTACCTATGAATCTTAAGATTAATCACTGAATTAAAATTTAATAAACCACATTGTCAATCTCATTCATTTCTCTAATTCTGTAAATTCATTCAATTTATCATTCCCATAAGCTACAATCTATTCAACTAAATCAATGTTTCTGAAAAAGTACATTAATTACATCCGAAAACGAATACTTTCTTACTGTAGAATATTTTTGTAATAAACTGAACAGGTTGAAAAGCTAACATCGAATTCTATTCATAGAATCATTTCAGGGCTATATATAATCGTTTGTTTATTACACATAAAAATTAACCAGTGTAGTATGTAATTTAACAAGTACGTAATGTTACTATTTATTACTACATTTTGTTTGTGACCTTGTATATCAATTTGTTTATATGTAGGATACCTTTTCCGGTGTGTCGTTGTGATTACTATTGAAATCTACACAAGTAACAACACAGTTTTTTTAAAAACGGGAGATGTACGTTATAATAAGCAAATGATTTACATATATAGATGTGCATTGATAATATTCGAGTGAATTAGTGTATTAAACAGATTTCTACAGATACAACACAAATCACTAATTAATACGATTATTTATTTCTCATCTGTACGTTGTCTTGCTGAGTGACAGGTGTATTTGATGAAAACAGTTAGCTTGACAATAGAAAAAATTAATAGACAGTAGGAATAGAATCTTTACATCTGTTCATGAGATTTACACACAGGAAAATATTAATGATTATCCCAAGATTTCATATTTGGTGCTAGATCTGAAAGTCTTAGATGTTAAATGTACTTGTACTCATGCGTTTAGTTTCTTGTTGCTAAATGTCAGTTCCTTTCTACAAAAGATAATATGGATAACATTTTTCTAACTCATATTACCTCAATGACCGTTCGATTATCTAATTGGCTGTTGTAATTTTTAGTTTGCTTATTTTATGGATGTTAATTATATGAACAGAGTTGCTCCATTTCAGTTCTTATGTTCATAATATAAGGCTATTCTGAACGTCTCGTATTCTCTTTCTGTTCAAGGTTTAAAAGAGGAAGGTTTCTATGGGCTAGAATGTAGGAATCTATGTTTAAGTTCAGAAATGATCAATATTCTGTCTGTTTCCCCCTACGCATGATAGTTGTTGACTAATCATCAAATGTGAATAAAATCAATATATAAATGAGTATGTTCCCGATCATTTTGATTTATCTGGGAGTTAAATAAAAGTGCAACACCAGTCTTTGTTTGGTTTTCATTACGCAACGTTTGATTCGAAGTCTCACTCTCAAAAACAAGCCAGTTAAAATAACTGCGGAGAAAACAAATGAAATTCAATGACACTAACTCTAAATCCTTAATCCTAATTACAAACGCTCTATAGCCTAATAGATGAAAATTTATGTCACTTTCTTTTCGAATACCAAGCAAAACAACTGGCAGAATACGTCAAAAGTTTGAATAATCATGCAAAATTTGTTGATGTTTCGTGATAATACTATTGTTATTTCCACCAACAATTTATTTAACAGGACTGTTTTCTAAATCGCTAATAACCTGCTTAAACCAACCGACGTTATTTAAAGAATCATTGTTGTATCGCGTTCGAAATCTTACACTACCAAATTCTAGTTTCGATTAACAGATTGTCCGAATCTCACGCTTATGTTATATCTGATTATTGTCGGTTGCTTTTTTCTTCAATTTAAGTACATACTACACGTTCATCTAGTCGTCGGCTCACCTTTTTTCTAACACACCCCTAGCACATAAAGTATTTTTTGGGCTAAACTAAAACCTTACAAAGGCTGAGCGTTACACTGTAGCTCGCTACTAAACTACTACTACTACTACTATTAAGAATGAAAAAAATGTTTCCTGTTCTCTGTATAGTGATCATACATTTTGAGAATGTAGATAAATATCATATGGTTATAATAAGAGTTAACAACATGGAAAACTTACTGTCGTTTATGTAAGAAAAAACTAGCAATCTGTAATGCGATTACTCCAACAATTAAAATGATTATACCAAGCCATAATAAAACACATGTTAACTTTTTATTCATTAACCACTGAAAATCTTGTAATTTCATCTCATCTGAATGTGTGCCAATCGATTCTCTTGGTACATTTGACAGTCTATAAATATTATTAGACGATGGTAATATATCATCATTGAACTTTTCAACTAAGTCCTTTGTGCCAAGATGGAATTTAAAAAAATATGGACAATTTCCGTAATTTTTAATTGTATGTGGTGGTTGTAATTGAATTTCTGGAATATATTTTGCTAACTGTGAGCAAAATGTACGTAAACGTTCATAAGGTGTTCTTATGGACATGATTATTTCGTTTGTATGCTAAGTAGGGAACTGATAACACAAAAGATAATTTGAATTGGCTTGTTTAAATATTGTGAATTTCACCGGAAAAATTTCTACAATTGATTGATCCACTATTTAAGCTTGTTTTATTATTCAAGCTACCATAGGTAGAAATGACAAAGAAGAAATACATCAGATACTTAATGTATAAATGTTTAAGTGAATGAATAAATAATCTTTAAAATGAACAAAAAGGAAACATGTAAATTTAGGTTTCTATCCAAAACTCTTTTTCTTAATTCCTTAATTTAGCACACAATATATGTGCAGATTTGCAAATTAATAATATGATTGATTAACCGTTAGTTGATTCGAAATTACTTAGCAACCAATCAAATCTATTCTTCACAGTTTGAACAAGGATTATTTTTTAGAGAAAACGAACAAATCATGTTAGTAGTATATGTGTTTAAAATGTTGGAAGATCGAGCTGTAGTGAAACTACGTGATATTGTTAAGCCGACCACAATCACACTCATGAGTTTTAAATTTTAATGTGAAATGAGGGATGTCACTTCAGTTTGTATTCACCCTATAACTATCTTGGTAGAAGATATCTTCATTTAGAGACCCATTCCTTTGAACCAGTAAGAAAACGTCTGTTGCTTCAGCATACAGTGAATGTGAGATTGTGTAAAAGCAGATTCACGCAATATGTTTACTCCTTCTGACATATGGGACGAGCCAATAAGCATGGAGAAAAATACTTTCGAGTTCATTTTGCAAGACCAAAGAATGAATGACTATCATGGGTTTCATGTAAAATGACTCAGTAGGTAACGAGTTGGGTGTTTAAAGCGAAAGATACCAGTTTTGAACTTCAGTGAAAATATCAGGACTTGGATAAACTCACATCCAACTGACGAGTCGTGTTCAGAACGAAACGCGTATCTTGGATTCCACTGAAGGCCACTATTCATTATTACTGAAAACTTATTACTAATTGGCAACATTGAGACGGTTCACTTAGTACATATGACAGCTCATATTGATCAAATTCAGTCCTTAATATCACCAACAATAAAATACCAACAGTTATAACCATCCTTATTACCTCTAACAGCACTCAAGATCACTAAATTCATGATCAATCTCCTTCTTCAATACCTGTTATTTATCCTACGTTGACTTTCAACTCTAGAATTCCTCTTTTGACTTCTTCTTCAAATATCACCATGGCCAACGATTCCAGTGCGCGAAATATTGTTCCAAGTCTACTGAAACCTCTCTCCAGACTACACGTTGGTGCCTTCAACGTACGTACCCTTTGTCAAATCGGCCAGCGATTCTCCTTGGCTAAGACCCTACAATTTCATACCATTGATGTATGCTGTGTCTCCGAAACAGGCATACAGGATCCTAGTGTGGTCTTTCACTTAACCTCATCTCGCCAAAATGGGGAGCCGACGAGATACACCCCTCGTTCATTTGGCGATCAGATGGCTAGTTCGAATGAACTGACGGGTGTAGGCATAGCATTAAATACGAGGGCAGAACAAGCACTGATTGACTGGAGGTAATCAAGAGTTTCTCCAAGTCGTTTTAGAAATCACATAGTCATCCGTTCAGTCAAACTTCACATTCTTGACTTTTTCTTCACATGCTGAGATCATCTGACAAACTAATTAAAGACATCTGAGTAATAGTAACTCATCCATGGGCCCGCATTGGGTGGGGTTTCATGGTCACCACGATTATGCTTGAACGCTGGATTGAATGTATGTCATTTAAGTCAGCTCGTGATGCATGCAATAAAATTAATTTATAACAGGTCGTTAAGTATCGACAGATACTTTAGTTATTCCACATCTATCTATCTATCTATCTATCTATCTATCTATCTATCTATCTATCTATCTATCTATCTATCTATCTATCTATCTATCTATCTATCTATCTATCTATCTATCTATCTATCTATCTATCTATCTATCTATCTATCTATCTATCTATCTATCTATCTATCTATCTATCTATCTATCTATCTATCTATCTATCTATCTATCTATCTATCTATCTATCTATCTATCTATCTATCTATCTATCTATCTATCTATCTATCTATCTATCTATCTATCTATCTATCTATCTATCTATCTATCTATCTATCTATCTATCTATCTATCTATCTATCTATCTATCTATCTATCTATCTATCTATCTATCTATCTATCTATCTATCTATCTATCTATCTATCTATCTATCTATCTATCTATCTATCTAGGTGTTATCACTGTGAGCTGTTAATCTGAGAACTAACAGTTACCCATTATTCTTTGATTCTGTGTTATCTGTGAGGTCATATTAAAATGTGCTTGCACCAAGAATGCGAGGTTCTGTGTTCAGTCCTTGATGATGCATTGTGATTTTCCCTACTACTGGTTTCCATAGTAGGACAATGTAGCCTTCCTGTCCTTCCTACTTTTTAATATTTTTCTAACTAAAGTTTCTCCCTAATGTAAAACACAGATTCACTTTTTCGTTAAAAGTAATTTTTATTTCAATGACAAGTGAAACTGAGAGTAACCTGAATTACTTTTAAAACTAGATATACGTAAAAGTTAGTTAGAGGGGGTTTTCAGAGTCCGATAGAATTTGCTGGTTGCTTTTATTTGGGATATCATAAAATTCTCACAGATTGAACTCATGAGTCAGTTGAAGCTAGACCACCATTGAAAACCTGGAAGCACTGGACGGCCGTCCCGTCCTAGTATGGGACTCCTCAGCAGTGCGCATCCTCGACCCCGCACCACCCGGGGCCCGAGCCCAGGACCTACTGGCTTCGCGCGCGAGCACTTAACCATTAGACCACTGAGCCGGCATCCAACGGTGTTAATGCCTAACTTCATCAATCCACGAAGTTGCGCTACCGTACACCATTGTCTTCAGTGAGCTGATATCTCACAACAGACCTGGTTGAACTCCACTGGTAACGGCTTCCCACTAGAACTCCAGGAGTATCTCTTGAAGTCAGTCACTAGTGAGCAGCTTCAACTGACTCATGAGTTCAATCTGTGAAAATCTCTAAAAAATCTCCACAAAACACATTCTGATATCATAAAATGTTAGTAAGCGCTACATAAGTATTTCGCTGTAGTATGATATTCCTCAGCAGTGTGCACGCATGATCCAGCTAGGGGTTGAACCCACTACTTTCAGGCCTATCAACAAGAGACCGACTTTCGGTTCACCAAGTTGGCACGTAATAGAGCTCACTGTCAGACCGGAAGTCCTTGTGTACAACCGTGGATAGGTTACATTGCTAGAGAGTTCCATAATAACTCAAAACAGCTGTTCAATGTCCTCTATTTTTCAATGATACTCAAACTGAGATCGGTCTGTGCTCAGCACAACCTACATATGTGAAAATCGGTCTAACTTCAACTTAATTCATCAGTTTGTGATTGCGACCGACCAGTGGACTTTCGAAATAGGAATCGTTTGCACAAAATATATTGTTCTGTTTTTTTTTCAAATTTTTACAAGATTAAATTACAGTTACTAATCGAATAATTTAGTTAAAATTCATTGCAGTCGCATCAGTGTGTATCTGTTTTTATTTCATTATGAAAATGTTGAATAATCTGTTTGGTCTATTCTTCCTTATCTTCATCAGTTTAATCATTTCATATTCATTTTTAATTTTGCGAATATCTTCCTTTCTATCGATTTTTCATTTACGTTTATGTGTGTGTACGTATGTAAATAGTGTTATCGAAAAGTGTAAAATGGGTTGAATCGAAGCACTTTAATATATGTAAAAAAATCTGTTCTTCAAGGTTATTTTAATGGGAAAGGGGGTTGTTATACGTTTTTAGAAATATCCAATTAGTAGTATATTTTCAGATTATGATGTAAAAATCGTGTGTATTTTTGATTATCAAATGTTTTTATGTAATAAATTCCAAAGTGAAGCAATAATAGTTTCAGGATCATTTTAAAGAATACATGCTAGATAGTACTGTATAAACACAGGAAATCATGAGCATGAATTGTAGAGACGTCTTAAATGTTATTAATTTAGCTGTTTGGTGATTATTGATGTTCAGTGATCCTCCATATTTGAAGCCCTTGAATATTCCTTCATAAAATCCTCAGAATATAGGCAAATCTCGATAATAATTTAATCAATCAGCACTTCTTAGAAACTCCCATGAGAATTCTAGAAAACAATGGATCATGTATTTATTATATTGATTACCAACAACCGAATTTATAACAACTTTAGTAAGTTTCCCATAAGCGTTTACTGTCTCGTAGTCGAATATAATTCTATCCTACCTTCAAAGCAATGCTTCTTCCATATTTCTATCCTTCTTTGCCCGGGTTCAAAAATAGAAGATTTCTGGGGACTAGGAAGTGATTAAGAAGTCGGTGTTGAGGCTTTCATTACAATAAGTATCATTTCAACTGATTTCAGTTTATCAGGAATATTGGATCTTAAATGGTTCACCTTAGTTAACTGATCAGTATCGATATATGCAAATGAGGACTTGGAAATATGATTTGAATTAACACGTGTTTTTACCAAGCATATCAATGAGCCAGAAGTGATGTAGTAAAATCTGATGACCTTGGGATATTTCAAAATCATTCGGATATTGATTTACATGATATCCGTTGATAAAAGCAGATTTTTGTATAGGGAATCGGACAAAAAATTGTTTGATTGTTAACACTTATTCAAGTATAATATACAACCTGAGTAGTACAAATAAGGTGAGAGGTTATCCACCGGTTTATACTTATTAAAAAGAATCAGCATCCCAACTAAAGTTATTTACGCAACTTCTAAAGGTATATCATTTATTTTAAGAATGTTTTCGTCATAAACTTATGTAAATACGTGCAAAGAATCATTAAAATGTAAGCCGTATTGAGTATGTGTTTTGTCTTCTTGTGGGACTCAACAATAATACTTGGCCAGAAATGTCAGGCCTTACGGAAAACATGATACTACTGAGCTACTAACTTTTGAAATAGAATAGTTTAGACGTTTAGCTGCAGGCAATTTATAATGTATAAATAAGTTAATATATTTGTAATATCCCAATGAGTAGAAAAACTAGATTTTCTGACGTTTTGTGATTCAGTGTATGCCACTTCCTCAGAGAATAAATAACTCCATCGTCGGAAGTTTCTTACATACACTGGTAACCCATTAGTAACCTGACGTTCATTTCTTCTCGGCTTGTGTTTATGATCTTGTCTTCTTCTTTGTGGATACATACTATCAAATAAAGTCTGAATCTTCCTTCCGAACATTGACTCAGTATCAGAGAAACACTTTGATAAGGATTTTAATTATGTTTCTCAGTTTGAACCAACCAGTCTAACTGGCTAAAGGTAATTGTGTATCATGGATTCAAAATCTTTTGGTTAGTGTAGAATCCTGAGGTTAAGTCCTGTGTTTTCAAGTCATCAGAGTTTAATCAGTAATTGCGGTTATGTTTTCGTTTATTTAGTCACACACTTGTAGATATTTTGGGATAATTTCTATCATAGAATTAATAGGAGGTGTGTCTTTTGCTATGTTGTGGTTTTTCTCCCATCATGACTGTCTGCCATACACTTGGCATATCCATAGAATGATGGAGTGGTATTTTCATCGTAGAAAACTCTACATCTTTCATGTAAGCCAGCGAAAACGATGGAGAGCAAAACACGCCCTTCATCATAGGCTGTGATTGTGTGAATGATAATTCCCGCTTCAGTTTGGTTGGCTACCACATGTAAGATTAAAATTGTGAACGAGAGTGGGGTTTATCCTCAGCCATTGTAGAATTAAACTGGTTAAATAGAAACAGCACACAATTATATAGATGTAAAATGTGTTAACATTAGAAGATATATATTTTGTATGTAATATAGGCAATTGATCTTTAAGCAAACTTTTAGGTAAAAAAAACCCTAACTGAGCCGACTTACACTTTAACTTCATATTTTAAGTAATATATTCTCAGAATAGTAATTTGTCAGTAGTGAAATAATTTTTTGGATTTGAATATGAGAGGGATAGTTCGATATCAAAATTCTGTGTTTATTGTCTAATTTTGATACTGATATTCAATCTTCATATATACGAGTCCAACCGGCTATACAAGTAAAAAGGGAGCTTTTATCAGCAAACTGAATTGAGGATATATGTATCTATCCCTTCGAAAACGAAGTCTATTAGTGTGTGGGTTATTCCTTAGATATAGAAGCCATTTTCGGGCAATCGCATGCACTCACTATTTTACCGGTTTCTGAATGACCAGATGTATCGCAGAGTTTTGGTTTCCACTCTGGATAACTTCATCAACGTTTGCTTCAAATAATTACTTCTTCATATCAAAGTACAGTTTGACTTTCAGAAGGAGTTATCTAGAAATTTAGTACAGGATGACCAAAGTAGTTTCATGGTAACAAAAACGTTGTTATCTTCTACATAAAATTATACCCTCAGATGAGATAAAGAATATTCTGACGTATACAAAATTCAATTGAGCAATCAAGTATTGGCTCGTATACTAAATTGTGTGTAAAGTTATTTGTGTAGGTTGTATTGAAATTACCTTACTGGTCCAGCTGAATTAAACAGAATTGAATTCAAATATACAGGAGTGATGTCGTAGATACTGACTGGTGCAGAGACTCACACTCGGATGGGACGGCTTTCAAATTTGTTGTGGTCTTTGATGGCTGTTTAACCAAGATCGATCAGTGATGTTAACTATAAAATTCAACATAATCAAAACGCGAAAGCAATTAATAATTCATTGTCTTTTCGATTAAAACACGTCAGTCTACTTCTGAATGTCTGTAAGTAGCTGAAATAATTTGTGTTAATCTTTGGGATGTCGTAGCTACACTAACAAATTAACAAAAAGAAGGGATTAGTGATTTAGAGATACCTACCTCTATATAATCGTGAACTGAAATTTCTTCCAGTTTCACTTAATCAGGATGGAAACAATTAAAATTTATTTCCCAGGAATTCTCTCTGCAGTATGCTAATTACAACAACAACACCAACAACAACAACAACAACAACAACAACAACAACAACAACTACTACTACTACTACTACTACTACTACTACTACTACTACTACTACTACTACTACTACTACTACTACTACTACTGCAACTACTACTACTACTACTACTACTACTACTACTACTACTACTACTACTACTACTACTACTACTACTACTACTACTACTACTACTACTACTACTACTACTACTACTACGGATAATAATAATAATAATAAAGTTAGATGTATTAGCACATCTCTCTTCAATATTCTTTAACATACTACATCATTCTTTCAATCCTATCGTTATGCTGATCGCTTTTCACTTTCCTTCCTTCACACTATTTCACTCTTCTTCTGGTAAGCATCCTATTTCCAATTCCTGCTACATACTACTTATGTCTGTCCGCATAAGTAGCACACACCACATTACTACTAGTCCTTATTAGTTGAAACTTATTGGTTAAAAGCCAAATTGGACGACTTTTGAAATATTTTATCAACTACATCTTATAATTCAAAACAAGTGATTGAAAGCTTGACGATGCTCTTTCCTGATTAATGGACTAAGTACTGGCACGGTTGACTTGCATTAACTGAGTACTTTTGTGTCTAGTAAATGCTGATTATAGCATTCGTTATTGATGTTTATATTTTTAGGGGATATATCTGATTCAATGAAGTATGTACAGTCACTTGATTTTAACCAATTAAGAGCTTATGGATAAGATGTTGTTGACATGTGTCAGCAGATAAAATTTGTCAACCGACAATTCGAGTCTACGTTCTGTCTGTAATGTAAGATAATCTTGTAGGCTTTCCATTTATGTTTATTTGATCAACGAATTCGTATTCAGGCAAGGTAATTCAAATATGACGTCTTCAGTGTGTTAATGTTACATTGTTTAAATTATTTGGATCTATATGTAATAACTTTCTATAGGCATACTTAATAGGATCACCAAATTATTGAGTACACTTTACGCTAGTAATACTAATGGCCTTCGCCAAATCAATTTACCCTCTAAGTATATTGATATTTATCAGGTCAGGCAAACTTTTTCTGTCCTCAAATTGGTCATCAGAACATTGGCGAAGATGATCGGTTTACTCTTTGACTCAAACACACATAATAATATATATCGATTACAAGACGACAGTTGACCGCAAATATACGATCACAATTTCTACTCAGTTAAGTCATTTGTAGTACAAACGGAGTTACAGCTGCAATCTGTGAACAGTAAAAGACATATTGTTAGTCAGTGAGTTCAATAGAAGCTTTTCATGTTGGGATTTCGAACAGATGAATTTTAGAATAACGTTCAAATAGTTAAGGATATGTCTATTATAAGGATTGAGAGATTCTCTTGTGATAAACGATACTGAGTATAGAATTTATGTTATCAGGACAGTACTCTTTAACCGTAGGTAATGTAAGATCTCAAATGGCATAGATAAGGGGTAAGCTAAAGTAAAGATATCTATAAGACAATATTGCTTCAAATATATTTCCTTTTAGCGCTACACATTCTAGTTTTGGGTTAAGGTGTTAACAAAATCTCTGTCTACTTAACTACTGGACTGATTTCATATATGATTGCGTCTATACTATTTGAGGTTAGCCTTGAAATAGTCATGCATGATAAGAGATTATTGACAGTAGGAGACATATTAAATAGTTCAACATATAGTTAAAGATTATCCGTTATGCTTATTTCCGATGATAGACTGCTCCATACCTTGGGATACCTAGTACGGGAGACGTTTTCTCAAGTTTTTACGTCATATTTTTCCACCTTGATGATTAATACTTTATTCCTTGAATTATACATTAGTGTATCTATAGAACGAACGATGATCTATTTTATAAAAATCAAGAGAATTCAGCGAAGAAATTTTTTTTAGACAAATTCATTTACTCAAGTTGTACATTAATATTTAAAGTTGTTTTGTTATTCTATGTCTATGGAAAGATGGAAAAGATTTCACCATAAAGTGATTCTACATTTCAAATCTCAAATGAGGTTGCATAATAATCAGGGGATTATAAGAGAATAAGGGGATGAAAATAATTTACGGGTCAGAATTTCGAGAGATAATTGTCCACCTGAAGGATATGAAGGAAGATGAAAAATGTGAAAGTCATGATAGCAACTAAATAATACTCACGAAAACTACTAAAGGATAATTATAACTGATTACGGTTCAGAATTACAAAACAATGGTGTAAACAAAACAAGACTAAAACATACTGCAGAGGGAAATGAAGGCCAAGGAAGGATGAGAGGTTGGACCTATTGTTTTTACACACAGAGTTTGGGTTAGAAGTGTTAGATCGCCAGAGCCTCAGAAGTGCATAAGTTTTTGATTCGGCCTCGTCTTGATCTAGTTCCTTTGAATGTGAAGATTATTTTGAAGGAAGACTCCTTTAGAGCGACTTGTCCAGAGTTGATTAGGTGTTCATGTATTGAACTGACGATTGTTTTGCAATCTCCTTTCAAAAGTCACACAGGGTATTGTTCTAACATGTGTTTGTAAAGTGATCGCTTTGTAAGGCCACAGAAGCAAGTAAATCTATAAATGTACATCGATGTGACCCAAAGCAAAAGTTTATCCTTAAAACATTCGTGAATAGTAGGTCGACTTGAGAAGACAATACGAATCTTAGCTGAACAGGTTTTATTCAGGAATTTTTAAGATTTCGACAGCCATATCTCCTTTAAACTCGAGATTAATAAGGAGAGTTTTCTTTTGAATGGTCGATGCTTTTTAACGATGTTATCACGGTGTCAAGTTCCTGTCCACAAATCTAGGCAGATAACCATTTATGACGAATATCTTTCGAAGTCGAAGTAGCTCGTCATCTGTTGTCACTAAAATATATTCGCCTAGTCCTCGAGGATAAAGAGTGAATTACAGAGGAAGATTTAACAAATACAATCTTCCTTTTTAATGTCTTACATCAACTCGGCGCCCAAATACTGTGAAGCTATTCAATGAAATTTAGACGAAAGTTCTCATATAAGAGTGAATTAAGTTTCTCTTTCTACTCGATGAATTCTCGAATCACTATATGATGCAGTCTCTTCTATCTTTCTATAGACTTATATAATTACCAAACAACTGCGAGTACAAATTTACAGCTTAAGTAAATGAATTTGTCTAAGAGAAAATTTTCTTCGCTGAATTCTCTTGATTTTTATTGAATGACGTAATGAGTTCTTTTGATGGTCTATTTATGCAGTAGTTTTTAGAAAAAGGGAAAGCTCGTACTGACTTTTTGTTTTTAAAGTAATTCAATCTATAAGATTTCAGATCTGGACAAGTAGTAAGTTTCAGGGATTTCTTCAAACATTTTGTGAATAAGATACCATTTTATTCCTTCCGTCCCATAGCATATAAAATAGGTTTAAACCACTAATTAGGAAAGAGCAATATTCAAGATTAAGTTTCACACAGATTTCACGAAAACAGATTCTAGATTCATTTTGATAAAATTCGTTCGGTATAAAGCCTAGTAATCTTCTGGATTTTGACACTTTTCCGAAACTGTATCAAGTTACGAGAATACTGAAATCTAGGGTTTAATTTCAGATATCATATTATTACCGAGGGTAAGCTATGGTGTAAGTGACAAGTTCCGAAAGCATAACCATCCTTATTTTTCAATTTTGAGTCTTTAGCTCCAGATTTTACATCATTTATCTGGACTACTTGACTTTCGGCTCTATAGATGACTTTCAAGTTGTTAACAGATGGACAAGGGTCACTTCGAAAAAATCTACATATATTGTTTATGGATACTTCGAAAAGCGATGAACAAAATTTACTTCCCTGCAAAGTTCCGTTTTTCATTGATCGGGATATTTAAACCACTGGGTTTATCTTCATTATTTGTTACCGACTCTTCAGAAACGATCTAAGTCATTATAGGAGTGGAGTCAGTAATGCCTATAAACTACAGCTTTTTGCTCAATAGGTCATGAGACGAATGAAGAAAGGCTTTCTTGATATGAAAGTAAATTGTGATTACTGAGAATTTTGATCGAGGCCGAGAGTGACCTTGTTAAAGAAGTCTATCAGACGTGCATCATACCATTTGTTTCAAACAAGCTATATTGATAAGCACCGATCAGGAGTTTGCTGAGTACATGTTCAAATATCGGATCTATAATCATTTTCTCCATTATGTATGTGAGAACTGGAGTAACTATAGTTAGTTTATTGTACTGAATCAAGCTGTTTTGGTTAGTATCGGCTACTCTATGTATTATTGACTCCCTGTCAATCTCAATATTTATCATTCGATAAAATAAAACAGTTATTCCTAATACGACTATTCCATTATAGTTTTCGATATTCAGTTATACTACTTATTATCAACAAGTAATTGGAGTATATTCAAACAATTCTATCACATGTGTGGAGAGACTATAATTTATGGACAGGTCTGGGATTTTGGCGCGAAATCCATTCATCCATTTGGCTATATAGCATTTTGGCATTTTAGTTTATGTCAGTTCGTGATGAAAACCGAAAATCTAGTTCCTAACCCTAACCATCAACTTTAAATCATTATTCTAATCCCTCATACTGGTTTCTAACCCTCATTGAGCTACGCTTGGTAGGTGGACATTCTCTAAGTCAATTCAGCGTCACTCAAAGGTCGTGCATAAGTCCCAGTCTCACCAAAATTTCATTATACTATTGCAATTGTGAGTGTGAAAGTGTTTCTTTCTCCTGTCCTCGCTTGGTTTTTTCATGCGAGGTCATTTTTCGATAATCCCGTTTCGAATTAAACGATTTGTCATTGAGGAGTCGTGAACCAAATGCAATGGAAGATAGTCACACAATATTTTGGATCGGTTGAAGTTGGACATTAACACCGTTGGATGTCAGCTCAGTGATCCAGAGGTTAAGTGTATGCGCTCAAAAAACGCAGGTCTTGGGTTCGATTTCCACATACAGGACCGTGGATGCTCACATCTGGGTAGTCCCGTACTCAGACGAAACGGTCGTCCAATGCTTCTAAGTTTTTCATATTGATTATTGTCACTCTAGGAATATAAATTTTAATAAAACTGTTTTTTTTGAAAGAAAAATGAAGGAAGACAAACTTCAATTAGGTTTGGTTTTGAGAAATTTATTTTCATATGAATCTCAAGAAATAATCAGTGTTGAGAATGAAGCAGTAACAAATGATATATAAGTCAGTTTGATATATTATATACTCTAAACCTTTTGATTACTAGTTCCCTAGTCATTTCTTAGCCT